GTGAGATTAACTGGGTGTCACATGGGTGTAACATAATTTAGGTGTCACAATATCCTATCCCAAAACAAAATAAAAAAATATCAACATTGGCACATAAGAAACATAAATTGAAAAGAGTAAAATGAAAAGAGGAAACTTCTAATTTGATATTAAATTTATAATTTAAAATTTTTGACAACTTTAATTATTTCTATAAATTTTGTTATTGATTGAATTATATCCTGAATTTTAGCATTTTCACATATTGAGCTTATTTGGTTTTGTTAAAAATAGAAACAAAATAATCAATATTTTAAAATTTAATGACATTAATAACCGGAAAGGTTTATGTTTACAAAGTCATTAAAACTGGAAAGGTTTATGTTTACAAATTACGCTATGTACTTCGGAGAGTACACTCATTTAGGAATGTACTCCCGAAGTACATAGTGTAGTTTGTAACCAATTTTTTTTTTTAAATATAACATATCCCTTAATAATTATGCTTAAAAATATATTTTTGCCTAAATTAAAAATTATAAAGTTAATAAATCATATTCACAATTTGATGGATATCCCAGTTATAAAAGTTAGTAATTAAGTTTTTAACTTTTAAAGCTGATATTCCAATATATATATAATATATATATATATATATATATATATATATATATATATATATATATATATATAAGATAATGAAATATACACTTTTTGTGTTAAAGAATTATAATTGTTTATAATATTTATTGAAAATTTGATGATAATATATGAATATATATTTTAAAATCAGAAAAAAGTACAATATTTTTTAAAATATGTGATTTTTATTACATTTTTAAAAATTCATTTAATTTTTATTTCATTAACATAAAAAGAAAATTGAACTCTCTTCGTTAAATACAATTTTAAAATCTTCTCTTCTCATGAAAACTATATTATATACCATTAGTCACTTTTATATTTATCTTTAAACCGTTAAATCAACATGAAATCAATGGGAGAAATGTATGTAAGAGACTAAGATTTTTATTTTTATATTCGTGTAATGTGAATTGATCCTGATCCTCACGCTAACGCTTCTAAGGTAGCATGTGAACGAAACTTTTGCGTGAGACATGCTATGCACGTTATATTTATTTTATTTTTTTTGGTAAAGTACGCATGTTATATTTATTTATGGGAATGATTTGTTTACAAACTTTTTATACAAATTTTTGTAAATTACATTATGTATTTTCGGAAGTATATAGTGTAACCTAGTGTACTTTCCGAAGTATATAGTGTAATTTCAGGGGCGGACCGAGGGGGGTGCTAGGGTAGGCGCCCCCCAAAATTTGAAGATTTTTTTTTTTTTTGGTACATAGAAGAATTTTTTTAATATAAGTATAATGCAAGAAACCTCCATTTTTTTTCTCCACTAATGTGAAGTAATTTTCTCCTACCGCAGAGACTTTACAGAGCTTCTTTATATTCTCAGGTCCTATATCTATTGAAACCCCTCTAACTCTGATTGCATTTTTTCTCTCTCCAAAAAAGTTAACGAAATGAACAAAACAAAAAAAGAATGAGAAAGAGTGCAGTACCATGATTGACACTTTCTTGTCTTTTTTTGCTTTAACAAAAAATAGGTTTATTTAAGATTATATCATGTCGGGAGTATCAATGACCACCAATAAAGCTACATGGTTTCTCTTAGTTCAAATTCTTTTAGCTACGTGGTGCTTGTTTGTTGGCACAGACCTGATGGTAACAATTAGCATATGAAATTAGCATCAAATTATGGAGAAATATCTGTTTACAATTTTTTTTTTACAAATTACATTAAGTATGACCAGTCATAAACTCTTGATTAAAGTATGACGGTCAGATACAGTGTAGTTTGTAAGAGTTTCTAAACAAAAAGTTTATAAATATAACTTTTCCCTTAAATTATAGTTTAAACCTTGACTTGAAACTTACAGTTTCAACTTTTATTATGCTTAGATGTTAGCACAAATCTTTCCATCCATGAATAAAAATAAGAAGTTTGAGAGTCTTATGAAAGAATGAACTTTATTCTTTCGATCCCTCTCCTTTTCTGATAATTCGTGACAGAGAGGGAAGTGAGGGGCATAATGATTTTGGTGATTGTGCGAGAGGGAAGTGAGGGGCATAATGATTTTGGTGATTGTGCTTCTTGACAATCTGTCTCTTCTGATTTATCTTTGACTTTTTTTCTCTTGTTGGGCTAACAGTGAGTAAATAGAAAAAGAGGTTAAGAAATGAGAGGGGTCTGTTTTGAATTATCTATTTAGATTATAGTAATTAGTACATATTTTTTGTGAAATCTAAATCGTTGCTCTCTTCTCTTTTTCTTTGCATAAAAAATGTTCATTTTAGGGGTTGAAAATGTATAGTTTTTTCAAATTGATAGTAGATTTTACTGTGACATCTTGCACCTCTCTCTTTGTCTCCTTCTTTCTCTCTATAACAAGTTAAAATAGGTATTTATGAGTTATGTTTTCTGGATTGGTGTTTCGGCCTCCCACATATTGTGGTTGAAGAGAGGAACAAATATTTAATTTTTCGTATTTTGACATCTCATATATTATGTTTGAAGAGAGAAACAAATATTTAATTTTTAGCCCCCCACAGGAAAAATTCCTGGGTCCGCCACTGTGTAATTTGTAATAGTTTGTAAACAAAAAAATTTATAAATATAATATTTCTTTTTATTTATTTAAAAAAGTATAGGGATCGACTCCACGTTCCATATTTTTTATGGGTGTCCAATTTCTCCTTGTTCTGTATAAGAGATTTTATACATCAATCAATTATAATTATATCTTACCATTAACATATAGTTGTGATATTAAAGTTTTTTTTTTCTATTTACGCCAAGCCAGTCGACAACCTTACGAGGAGAAAGAAAAAATAGCTTTTAAAATTACAATTATACTTTAGTGGTAAGACATAATTATAATTAGTTGCTGAAAAAAAACCTATTCTCCCATAAAAGGAGAATTACATTTCACATTTTTTTTTATAGTGAAAGGATATTGTAACAATCAATTAATGTTACTACCAATCAATTTCATCGTTAGATCGATTATGTTGATCAACAATTATATTTATTTTCATCTTTGTATGATTATGATTCTCCATATGTAATATTTTATATTTATTTTCACCTTTGTATGATTATTTTTTCTCATATATAATGCTTTCACAGTAAATATGAGGAATCAGAATCATACAAAGATAGAGATAAATATAACCGGTAGATCAACATAATCAATCTAACGGTAAAATTAATTGATAATAACATTAATAATAACACTAATTAATTGTTACAATATCCTACCTTTTTTTTATACGCTAAACGTTAACAATTTGTGAGTTGGCGAAAGTCTTAACAATTTTGATTTTGATATGCATTTTTGGTTGGCGGAGTTGGTGAGTTAGAGCCGTAATCAACTTTTCAGTTTTGAGCCAACCAGCAACCAGGATTGATTAGTTTCTTCAATATAGAATTCTTGAACACCCTCTGTAGTTTCTTTGTTGAGACTAGACAGTCAAATTGGTCCAGAAAGTAACGAGGTGTTATTCTGGATTTCTCTGGTAGTAATATTTTTATGTAAAGAAATTATTAATTTATATTAGAAAACTATTTTATTAGTTAATGTTAAATAAGTAACTCAATAGCTTTTTTTTTTTGGTGGACAACACAATAGCTTTAACCTGAACTAGTGGTTTCAAATCATCATTTTTTTACAATGATTTATAATTATTTTTTATCTGAATAATTAAAATTGATTTAGAAGAATAATGTATTATTTAGGTTATTAATTTATAAACAATTTTCAAACATCAGAATGAAACTTATCTAAAAAATTAGGGTTCAAGGAATGCATTTTAACCATAAAGTTAATCATCAGATTTTTTTTTTAAGTGGATCATTGTAAAAACAAACAATAGAACTAAAATTATGTTATGTTAATTGGTTAATAATTAAAAAAATATATATATACTAAAATGTTATTTGCTCTCAACTATTCTCAATTTCTCTTCTTCCTCATTCAATTTCTCATCGCTGTATTCTCGCCTCCCTCTATCAATTAAATTTTTTCACAATTATTCTCTCTTTTTCTTGCCCTCTCTAATTCTTTTCGCAATCCCATTGTCTCTCAATTTAATTATAGTTTTTAACATTATAATTGATGTAATACACGTCCAATGATAAAAATGAAATATTACTCTAAACACCTAATTATCTCCCAATAAAGCTACTAAATACAGGGCGGCTGCATTATATTTTTCTTGACTTGCTATAGGAATAAATGCCAGAGATCTTTCCACCACACAGAACACATAAACATCTTTTAATTGTATTTCTAAGGACTGTTTAGAATACTCTGGCTTTGTAAAATCTGTTATATTGCTGTAAAAATGTACGTGTTAATAGTGAGAAAGTTATTGTGATAACTGATAAGTGTTCGAAATATTGTTTGGTAACAAAATGATATTTTTTTATGAAATTCATTTTAATTATGAAATTATAAATGGATATTCTGAAGCTAAATAGAGATAAAATAAATTAACAAGGAAGCATTAATAATGGTAAAATATAATTAAAAGAAGTTAAAGATTCTGCAATGTTTATATTGTTGATAATCATGTTTCCAAAAAAATATTATTGTTGATAATCACAATAACAGTTTAATTTGAATATCATTTATATATTTTAAAAAGCTTGGAAAGAAATAATTATATAACAAAAACGCGTGATTTGTTGGTCATGTAATATATGTCAGCGATAAATTATACTTTTTTATTTTATTTTTCATTTAGCCATCCAAATAATGTTAATACGTCATTGGTAGGTGAAGTTTTTGCTTAGACCTCTCGTAGTCCCGCTTCTTATATAAAGGATCGCACGCCTCAAGCTCATATAACAGGCAAGGTGTGCTACGTGCTCATAATCTTTTTTTTTGGCTCAATTGCTTCATCAATAGACTTTTAATTTGACCTTGTCAGCAATGGCTATTGAGCAAGTCCTTCACATGAATGGTGGTGATGGAGAAGCAAGCTACGCAAACAACTCCTCATTTCAAGTACTCTTATCATGCCCAAATCAATTTAACTATCTTTCTTTTTATTTTATTTTTGGTCTTTGATATATAGAATTTACATACATGCATGTTATTCCAAAAGGTTTTGATATTGTTAATTTCTATGATATTGACTGAGATTCTCCTTGACATGCAGAGAAAGGTGATGTTCATCACGCAACATATACTTGAAGATAGTATAATGAGGCTGTACTGCGCAACTTTACCAAACTGTTTGAAAGTGGCAGACTTAGGTTGCTCATCAGGTCCAAATGCACTTCTGGTTGCATCTAACATCATCAACACTGTTGATGCAGTGAGTCAAACCTTGAATCGTGAGCCACCCATGTTTCAATTTTTTCTCAATGACCTATTTGGAAACGATTTCAACACCACCTTTAAGTCACTCCCCTATTTTTATACAAAACTGGAAGAAGAGAAGGGTCACAAGTTTGGTCCATGTTTCTTTAGTGGAACACCAGGGTCATTTTATGGCAGGCTCTTTCCCAACGATTCCATTCACTTCTTTCATTCCTCCTATAGTCTGCATTGGCTTTCTAAGGTACAATATTTATTGAACTTAATATTTCTTTAACCAAAATATAAAATAGCATACTCACAAAGTCAACATATAACAGCTTTGGTATATATTAATTTTCCTTTCTATTTTGGCAACAGACTCCAGAGGAGTTGACACATGCTGCAGAACCACTGAACAGAGGAGCAATTTACCTTACAAGGACAAGCCCTCCAGCTGTGCACAAAGCATACTTTGCTCAGTTTCAAAATGACTTCAAATTCTTTTTGAGGTCACGTTCGAGTGAACTGCTTCCTGGTGGTGCTATGGTCCTAACCTTTATTGGTAGAGATGAAAATAATGAACTAATAAATGCTTGGGTGGTTATTGGTATGGCACTCAATGACATGGCTGCAGAGGTACACTTTCATTTTTAATATCCCCACTATATATATATATATATATATATATAGGAGGTAGGATTATTTGACACCGGTGTCAAATTTGAAGTTTGACACCTCATCTGAGAGTCGTTTGATAAAAAAAGATCAACGACTCTGATTTGTACGCATGTGACACCATTGATCTTTTTTGATCTAACGGCTCTCAGATGAGGTGTCAAACTTCAAATTTGACACCGGTGTCAAATGATCCTACCTCTCTCTCTATATATATATATATATTTATGAATTTGTAGCTTGGCTTTGTTAATGAACTATCAAAATTAAATGGTGAATATATGAATTATATGGTGCAGAATTTGATGGAGCAGACAAAATTGGACTCGTTTAACATTCCATCATACTGTCCTACGCCTGAGGAGATTAGACAAATAATTCAAGAAGAAGGATCTTTTGATATTCAAAGGTTGGAGACAATAAGAACGGATTGGATCAAGAACATTAATGTGAGTGATGATGACTCACTTATTGATGAAGAAACGAGAGCTGAGGCAGTAGCAAAGTACATAAGAGCTGTTGCAGAACCAATTTTGAAGTCAGAGTTTGGGGAAGCAATCATGGATGAGCTATTCCGCAGGTTCAAAAACAAGATTCTCCAACTCTATGGGGTTGAGAAATTGGAGCTCGCTAATCTAGTCATGCACATCACAAAAACTACTTGAAAGCCTTCATGAAAGAGTACCTTATAAAAACATAGAACATTGGAGGCAATAAATTACCGTTTAAATGTGTTGTAAACAATTATAGTGAGTTTGATGTATTTATGAAAATTCAAATTTGGAATTATTGTTGTAACATTTAAATTTTACACTTTATTTTTGGTTTCTTTTTAAAACATTTCCTTTAAATATGGGTGTGCATGACAACCATTCTGTTCTCTGATACTATTTCTGAAAATAAATAATTTTTTTCTATTTTTGTGCCTTTGAACAATTTATGAGGAAAAAAATATGTACGGTAATATGTTCTATTTTTATTCCGAGAATGAAAATAACGTTTGATAATACAACAAATAATAGAATAAAAAATTCTTATTAAGCATAAAATTCTTTCATATCATCATTTTCTTTTTCATATGGTGTGGCGCTGGTGGTAGTAGTGTGATGGTCGCAGTGGCATCGGTTACGAATGTGGTTGCGATGGTGTTGGTAATAACGGTGATAGTAGTGGTGGTTGTGGTGACGATAGTTGCTACGATGATGGTGGTGGTGGTGGTGGCGGCAGAAGTGGTATTGGTGGGAATTGTGGTGGTGATGGTGGCAGTGATGGTGGCGGTGGCAGTGGTTGTACAACGACTGTGATGGTGGCGATGGTTGTGTCATGATGGTAGTAGTGGTGGTGATGATGGTCGTAGTGAGAGTGATTGAGTGAGACAAATATTTCTCATTTTGCACCCGAGAACCAAAAAGAAAAGTAAAAAAAAATTAATTCTTTTTCTATTCCCCAGCACAGAAATTGAATTGGTTCATTCTTGTGATATAAAAAATAAATCAATTTTGTCAAACACTATTTTATCCTTTTCTATTTCCGAAAATAAAAATTATAAAAAAATTGATTCCGAAAAGGTTATTATTTATCCCCTTAATCAGTAGCTAAGGATTAGATAAGTGAAATATTCTTCTTCCATTAACCTATTACTCCATGTAAACAGAAAATAAGTGAACTCATGGTATTATATTTGAAATTGTTATTGGACATTTATGTTACATGTAATGATTTAAAAACACGTTTTCTTTGCTTACCAAAATACAAAACAATTTTTATTTTATTTTTAGAAATATTTCAATCAGTTCATTGCTTCGCAACTAATCCGATTTGGGGCAGATTAAGGATTAAGACTTTAAACCCCTCCCAAAGGTGGTATTAAGGAGATTCGAACAAATGCTCTTACCCCACCTGCTTAACTATCATGCGCCAACTGAACTACCACCATTGGTACAAAACACGTTTTCTTTTTGTGAACAAAAACACTTTATTGTAATTATTGATGTAAAAATTATTGTAATTATTGATTGCATTTAACGTGTACTTAAGGTTGTTGATGTAAATTATTGTAATTATTTACCGATCAGTTTGGATATTAATAAAAAAAATTGAAAATTGAAATTAAATATATAAATTAAAATTAATGAAAAATAAATAAATAAGAAATTGATAAAAAAAAATAAAACAACAAAAAGGAGAGGTCCTTCTCAAATGTAAAGCCACGTGTTAAATGGAATAAAAAATTACATTGAGATATTATCTCACTTTCAATAATAAATATTTTTTGTTATTACATAGAAATAGATTCTTAAAATTATAGAGAGAGAGGAATAGAAATGAATTTTTTTTTTTTAAATATTCCAATTCATTCATTGCTTCGCAACTAATCTGATTCGAAGCGGGTCCAAGATTAAGACTTTAAACCCCTCCCAAAGATGGAATTGAGGAGATTCAAATACATACTCTCACCCCCACCTGCTTAGCTCTCATGCGCCAACTGAGCTACCACTATTTGGTTGAGTTACATTTTTAATATTAGGCGTAAATTCTATTTATATCTAGTCACTCTAATTTATTACATACATCAGTACGTATATAAACTTTGATACTAACCACTTTACCCTTGTTGACTACGTAACAACGAAACTTTAAAAATCTTGAAGTGTTGTGTCTGACATTTCTGATACTCTGACAAGCTTTGAAAAAATTGATCGATGTTTTACCAAACTGATATAATAAAAATTAAAAAATGGATACTGAATAAATCTTACTAGAGTGTATAAGATATTTTTAATTTGAAAATATAATAGTGATTTTTTTGGTAATTATAATAATAAATATTTACATCTTATGTTTCTTTGCAAAATTGAATCAATCGATGAGTATTATAAGTTTAATTTTAATTTTTTGCTAAACTATTGAATCTTAAATATAATATACACTATATAAATTAAAAATATTATTTAATATCAAAATGTGTCCTAACGTGTTAAAATCTAAAAAAAATTAGAATTAAAGTATCAGAGTGTCGTGTCGTGTCGTGATCTGTGTTCTATGTCAGTGTTGGTGCAACATAGCTTGTTGACATTGAGTTGTTTTAGATAATACAAAATTTGCAAAATTTAGTCATAATTTATTGAAATTCAAATATGATTGTTGCATTAAATAAAATAATTATAATCACACTTGACTAAATAATAATGTAAATACATTTTTTCCCTAATAGAAAAACAAAAATTACAACAGAAACTACATCAGCTAAGGGTGTGCATGACAACCATTCTGTTCCCTAGTACTGTTTCTGAAAAGAAACAATTCTTTTCTATTTGTGTGCCTTGGAACAGTTTCTGAGAAAAAAAATGTGTTTGATAACATGTTCTTTTTTTATTCTGAGAATGAGAATTGCGTTTGATAATATAACAAATAATATAATAAAATATAATTCCTATTAAGCATAATTTTTTTTCATATTACACTTTCTTTTCCATATGGTGTGGTGGTAGCAGCAGTAGTGGCGGCGTGGTGTTGGCGGCGGCGGTAGTGGTGTTGGCGGCGGCGGCGGTAGTGGGGGTGGTAATGACATGGTGGTGGTGGAGACAACACTGACTGCGACGACGACGGAGGTAGTTGGTGGCAGTGACGGTGGTAATGGTGGTGGTGGTGACGGCAGTGACTACGATGGTGGTGGCGGTTGTTGTTGGTGTGGCGGTGGCATGGTGGTAGTGGTGACGGCAGTGGCTGCGACGATGGTGGTGTCGACGGCGGTGGTGGTGGTAATGACATGGTGGTGATGGAGACAGCAATTACTGCTACGACGATGGTGGTAGTTGGTGGCGGTGGTAATGGTGGTGGCGGTGCCGATGATATAATGGTGGTGGTTACGACAGTGGCTGTGGTGGTGGTGGTGGTGGCTGCGACGATAGTAGTGATAGTTGGTGGCGGCGGCGGCGGTAACGGTAGTGACTACGACGATGGTAGTGGTGGTTGGTGGCGGTGGCATGGTGGTGATGGTGACGCTGTGGCTGCAGCAATAGTGGTGGTGACAGTGGCAATAGTGGTGGCGATGGTGGTGGCTGCGACGACGATGGTGGTGATGGTTGGAGGCAGCGGTGACAGGGTGGTGGTAGTGGTGGCGATGGTGGTTATGGTGGTGTGGCGATGGGTGGAGGTGGTGGTGATGGTGGCAGTGGAATCGTGGTGGTGGTGACAACAACATTGGTGGTACAACGACAACGACGACATTGGTAGTGGTGGTCGTCTCGAGATAATGGTGATGGTAGAGAGTAATTGAGATAGACAAATGTTTCTCATTATGTGTCCGGGAACAAAAAAACAGAATTTTTTTATTCTTTTTTCTATTCCCGGTACAAAAATTAAATCGGTTCATCTCTGGAACAAAAAAATAAACTGATTTTACCAAACAAGTTTTCTATTCATTTTTGTTCTCGGAAACAGAAATTAAAAAATAATTGATTCCGGAAAGGTTGTCATGCACATCCTAATAATAAGTGCCTAACTCCATGTGGGGGAAAGTGGTAAAATTAGAAGCAAGCGTCTTGTGGGTGTCTAGGGGTAAGTTGGATAGTGAATCTGCACACATGTTAGCCTTTCTATAGATAAGTTCTAGATGCATCTGCCAATCTTATATGTCATCTAAAAGAATAAAAAAAAATTCATTTGAAATATCATGTGTCCTTTTGTTTATTTTATTTATATTTTAATTTTTTAGCTTTAATTAAATGATATAATTAAGTATATATGGTTTTAAAAAAAATAAATAGTAATTATAAAAAAATTATTACTGTTTAGAAAATTAAAAAGAGTAACTTCTGAATAATTTTTTTAAAATTATATTACAGATTTTTTTTCAAATCAAATTCAAACACATCCATATTAAATAGAAATAAATTCTCTTGTCTAATATGAAATCATGTGAAAGAATCTCAAAAAAATTTATTTTATACAACCATATAACTTGCTGTAATAAGCAAACAATTTTTGTGTGTGTGTGTTTGTGTGTTGGGGGGACATCACTAATTTGGAATTTGTTTAAATTGATGACATTGAAAGCACCTGATAGTACAGCATTATCTAGAATAATATTTAACCTATTAAACAATAATTTTCCAGAAATCGAATATTTGGATGATGTATAATCGCATTTTATATTGTTAAAATTCCAAATTATAATAAAAAAAATTTTTATTAATAACAAGGCGATCGTTAGAGACAAACTTTCTATTAGAGAATCAAATCAGAAGGTGGAGAAAGAAGTTATTCTGTAGTAGGTAGTAGAAGTTCTTAATTTATAAGAATCGTAGGTAGTGCTAATCTTTATTTAAAAAAATCAGCTGAAAATTTGGCTTACGAAGCTCGACTCAACATCCAACGCATGGCCACTGACCAACCTATATATTTGCTGTATGACGGTAAAATATATTTTTTAATAAGAAAAATCATGTTATCAATTTTTTCTAAGGGTGCGCATGACAACCTTCTCGGAATCAATTTTTTTTTTTAATTTATTATCCCAGAACAGAAATGGATAGGAAACTCGTTTGGTAAAACCGGTTTATTTTTTTGTTCCCGGGATGAACTGGATTAATTTTTGTGCTTGGGAACAGAAAAAAGAATCAGAAAATTTCTGTTTTTTTGTTCCCGGGCACAAAATGAGAAA